ATTATTATTATTATTATTATTATTATTATTATTATTATTATTATTTGTACTCTAAAGTGCACAAGTGCCTATTGTTGTTGTTAATGTTATTGTGATTGTTATTAGGCAATAAGTAAGGGATGTGAAATAGAGAAGAAGAAGTGTGCTTCATCTAGAAGTAAATGGCCGTTGTTTGCGGGTTCGAATATTGAGAGTCCATCGCCATGTGCAGTGAACAATACACAGAAACGACAGATTTTGATCACGGGGTGGGTTATTATTATTATTGTTATTATTATTATTATTATTATTATTATTATTATTATTATTATTATGTATTATTATTATTATTATTATTATTATTATTATTATTATTATTATTATTATTATTGCTATTCGAGGAGAAATTGAGGTGATAAATTAAAGGCACGAGAACGGGTGCGTAAAGTTGTGGTGTAGCAGTTCGATGAGTTTGAAATATTTGTTGACAGTGGACACGGCAAAGGAGTTCGAGGGTTATTCAGCGAGAGACGACGAGGTGATGCAGGATAGCGACGGGAATGGTTATGAATCGAGAGGTGCGTTCGTTTATTTTTAGTATTGTTGTTGTTTTGATTATATTGTTATTAGAAATTGATTAGAGGCAAGGGGAAGAGGTTGTATTTGGAGAACTTTTATTAATATGAGGTGGTAAGTGAGATGACATGATGAGGAGATGGTTCGTGAGGATCGGAATTTGGAGTAATTCTGGTAAATGAGGGTGATTGATTGATTGATTGACTGATTGGTTTAAAGGAACGTCACTGGATGAGGATGGAGTGGAATCAGAGGATGACGAACTGAATACGAGCCATGAGTGGCCACCGTTCAGAAAAGTAGTGTTTGTTTGAATTTTTTTTGATTTTTTTAAAAAAAAGTTGGCTTAATGTGCGAGAAAAATGCTCAGTGCACAGGTCTGTCTCTATTGTGATTTTCATGCGTAAGATGTGGATTTGCCATCTGATCTGGGAAAGGCGGTGGAATTATTGTTATTGTGGTTGTTATGATTGTGGTTGTTTTGGGAATATTATCGGAGATATTAAGGTTGGCGTATACGATCCATTTTGTGATGACGCGAGATTAGCGGTGCAGAAGATTCATTTCGACCCGAACACTGGACGCTTAGTAGTGGGTGGACGAGCGGGTCATGCACTAGTCTATGATTTGGAGGATGAACCGAAGGTTATTTTTGTGGTTTTG